AAATATTTTAAAGTCACTAGTGGCTAAATTGATTTTGAAGTATCTCACGTTGTTCCCCATTTGAAACGTCGAAATTAAGTTCATCTGGTGCAGAATTAAATGCTCTATCAGATCAAGTAATCAAATTTTTTGTTAACTTAAAATCCACAATAAAAACAAAAGAAATATTAAAAAATTTCGAAAAAATAAAATTTTTGTTTTTAAAAAAATATTTTTCCTAAAAAATATCTAGTCAATGTAACGAAGTAAAGTATACTGGTTTATGCAACTTTATATGTGCTTTCAAATGAGACGTTCCCCAGCATTGTACGACCTAATTTGGATTCAGAAAGTCAAAATTACTGAAAATTCGTTTTTTTTTTTCATGTTTTGTGAGGGTGTTCATATTGAAATGCTTGTAGTTCCGTAAGGAAACGACATAGAAGCCTAAAAAAATTTTCGTCACCTTAGTTTTTCACGTAGAATCGAATGATATAAAAAAATGACATGTTTTAAATTTTCATGTTATGGCCTATCAGGCCTGTGCTCGATACTCTCATGGAACGTCTCTTAAGTCTTAAAGTATGTACGTGTTAAGGATGTCAATAGTGTACTTTTTTTTTGTCTAAACATCATTTCGATCTCGTTGGCTAGCGAAGGTACCTTCTCAGCTGCCCTCAGCCGACTTCAATGGTTGTTTTTCTATCGATACGACATAGTATTCTAGTAAAAAACCTAAAAGGATTTGGGTTCCTATTAATATTTGGCTAAGTTATCGAATTTTTAATATGTTCATTTTCTAGAAATTTCTGTAGGATCCCAGATTTTCTGAAAACTCGTATTTTTGAATCTTGATCTAAAGCCTAGTGCATATAGCCAACTCAACTAGGCTAGCTTCCATCAGAAATATCAAAAGTTTTGCAAAGTCTTTTCGAGACATGAAGCTTCCTAAAAAATGCATTTTGTATGCACTATTCATTAAAAAAAGTCTTATATCTTAAAAGTTTCATATCTCAAAAAGACTTTGTTGAAAACTGCTGATTTTTTTATGGCAACCAGTCTAGTTGAGTTCTTTATATATATGTACAAAGTTTCAAATCAAAATTTGAAAATATGAGTTGTGCAAAAAGCTAGGATCTCTAAAAAATAGACATGATTTGATAGCTTATTCAAATTTCAATAAGAATCCAAGTCCCTCTATAGAGTTTTCATTAGAACAACAGTAATATTATAAACAGTTTTCTTTTTTTTTCATCGGCAAAATCTTTAACATATTTTTATTAATTGTTTTAGAAGATAACAACAAAACAAATCAATGAAAAACATCAAGCAAGTGCTGATGTTCCCTTAATAGTCAAAATAGTAGCTGATGATTTTCCTTTTTTACGTTTTTTTGTTTCATTTGATGATAATTTTTGTGTTGCATCAGCAAAGAGAATAACATCATTTTGTTCTTCAATTTGGCGTCGAATTAATTTTAAACCAGCGAGATTAAATCCAACATTATTCTTAACAAAAAAGAAAAACGAATTATTTTTCAAATTTTTCTTTTTGTAGAACTTACTCGTAATTTTTCTACTGTATCGATACAACATGTTCGTAATTGTTCGACAATATTTAAATATTGATGAGATGATGTTAATACACCATGATGAATTCTGTATTTAAAAAAAAAACAGAATAAATTTATAAGTTTTAAAAAAATTTGAATTTTACTTGATTAAAAACACAGCACATTTAACACAGAGTTCTGGTGATTGAAATCGATCGAGATAATAAACGAGTAGTGATAACAATTTTTGAACATAATCAAATGGTAGAAGAAGAAGCATTGCTTCCAAATCACTACAAATTTCACTCAAAAATAAAACTAAACACAACAAAAAATCCTAAATACCTCGCTGAAACTTTTCTCAATGATTCAAGTACAAAACGTTCAGCTGTATAACCATTTCCTAATGCTTGTAACATAATATGAGGTGGTGGTGAAGGTATCTTAATTAACAAAACGAAAGATTATTTTCTTTTATAAATAAAATAATTCGAATTACTTCTTTTCCTAGTGCTTTTTGTGTTGCTTCATGTTCAGCAAGTTTTAATTTTTCTTCACGCCAAATATCAAGTGCTTCAATAATACTTTCCGCCTTAGAAAAATAAGTAAAATAAAACAAAGACAAAATCAAAAAGAACAATTTAAATAAACGTACACCTTTAAGACTTTCAATTGTTTTTAAAGTAGCTAAACCAACTTCTTTATTTGTTTCACCAGGTAATATAAATTCATCATTTTCCATTTCA